CCGGCCTCCGAGACCACTGCCTCAGCCACAGAACCACGGTCCGCCTTCGGGCGGCGCCGTGGCTCCGCAGCCAGGCTACGGCGGACGTCCGCAAGGCCAGCAGGCCCCTGGAAGCTTTGGACCCGGCAGCGTCATCTCACCTGCCGCCCAAGGCGTCCCGCACCACCTGCAGCAGCAGCAGCAGCAACAACAACAACAGCAGCAGCAGATGGCATCGCCACAGGCGCTCAAGCAACAGCAGCAGCAGCAACAGCAGCTCGAGCTCCAAAAGAACCTCTCGGCCGTCTCGCAGCAGGTCAACTCGCAGCCGCTGGCGCCGCGCAACCCGGTCTCGTCGAAGCGCAAGATCGGGCTCAACGACTTCAACTTCCTCGCCGTGCTCGGCAAGGGCAACTTCGGCAAGGTCATGCTGGCCGAGGAGAAGCGCTCGGGCAACCTGTACGCGATCAAGGTGCTCAAGAAGGAGTTCATCATCGAAAACGACGAGGTCGAGAGCACCAAGTCCGAGAAGCGCGTCTTCCTCGCCGCCGCCCGCGAGCGCCACCCGTTCTTGCTCGGCCTGCACTCGTGCTTCCAGACAGAGACCCGAGTCTACTTTGTCATGGAGTACGTCAGCGGCGGAGATTTGATGCTCCACATCCAGCGCGAGCAGTTTACCCCGCGCCGCGCCAAGTTCTACGCCGCCGAGGTGTTGCTGGCGCTCGAGTACTTTCACAAGCAGGGCATCATCTACCGCGACCTCAAGCTCGACAACATCCTCCTCACCCTCGACGGCCACGTCAAGGTGGCCGACTACGGCCTGTGCAAGGAGGAGATGTGGTACGGCAACACCACCAGCACCTTTTGCGGCACGCCCGAGTTTATGGCGCCCGAGGTGAGTCCCCCGACGTCGGCCCCGCTCGCATCACGTTCGAGGCGCCTCGAGCACCTGCCCTTCCCGAGGCTCCTCTCTGACGCCTTCCGCCCTCTGCTTTTGACCCCGTATCGGCCTCGCCCCCTTCGCCCACGCTCTCGCCCCCGTCACAGATCCTGCTCGAGCAGCGCTACGGCCGCGCCGTCGACTGGTGGGCGTTTGGTATCCTCATCTACGAGATGCTCCTCGGCCAGGCGCCCTTCCGCGGCGACGACGAGGACGAGATCTTTGACGCCATCCTCGAGGACGAGCCCCTCTACCCGATCCACATGCCAAAGGACTCGGTCTCGATCCTGGAAAAGGTGGGTCCGCACGCGCCCCAGCAACGGCACAGCGTTCATCGACAGCCCCGACTGACTTGCCATTGCCCCTCCGCTGCGACCGCCGTCCTTTCTCGCAGCTGCTGACGCGAGACCCCGCGCGCCGCCTCGGGTCCGGACCCACCGACGCCGAGGAGATCAAGGCGCATCCCTTCTTCCGAGACGTCAATTGGGACGACATGTTCCACAAGCGCGTCCCGCCGCCCTTTTGCCCGACGCTCAAGAACCCCAGCGACACGAGCTGGTTCGACACCGAGGTGAGCCTCACACGTGTCTTGTGCCGCGTCGCTGTCGCCGTCGCCCGTCGTCGAGTGCGTCTCATTGCTGACCCGCCCTCGTCGCGTCCAATGCGCTGCGTCCTCCCTCTCCCCGCCAGTTCACGAGCGAGAAGCCCACCCTCACGCCCGTCCACAGCGTGCTCTCGGCGCAGGACCAGGCCGAGTTCAAGTCGTTCTCCTGGTGAGTGCCTGCCGCCTCGCCACCGCGTCCGCCCATCGCGTTTTCGTCCCTCTCGACCGCCTTCTCACCTGCGTCTTGCGGCTCTGCATTCTTGTCCGCGATTGCTCCGCTGTTCGCCCCTTTGCCCCCAACAGGACCGCACCGCACGTCATGTGAGCTCACCCGCCCGCTCGCCCGTCCCGGCGGCCCCGCGATGCCAGCACGCGCCCGCCCTTGCTCGTACATCCCGCCCCCCCTCAGTCACCACCGATGTCGCCGGCTCGCGTCGGTCGTGCCACCGCCCCACTCCAGCCCCACTTGACGACCGCGGCGACGACTACATGAAGAGAGCGCCTCGTACTGTAGAGATAAAGAATGCCACGACGACCAGCTACCGAACCGAAACTCATCTGCCCAGCCGCCCGCCGTCGCCTGACGAGATCCAGAGCACCGTCGCTCGCTTGCGGTGCCCGCGCGGCGTGAAAAATGCCGAGTCACACGTGCCAGCCTGAGAGGGCTGGGCCTGCTATCTTGCAAGCTCGATTCACTTTTGCACCAACCTCGATAAATCGGACTTGCATATGTGAGGGGCTGTCACAGCCCTGGCCCAATCGGGGCTGAGCGGCGCGGGCCAGCAGGGCAGAGGATTTCCGGAGCCGAGGTGAATTCACTCCGCGCGGCCGCGGAGAGGAGTTAGGG